GCACAAACCAAATGCCTAGGAGTCACACTACTGAGTTCTCTCACTCCTTCACTCACCCACTCAACATACCAGCGTTCCTGTTTCACATCCAAACTTCGTCCCAAATTCATCAACGTCTTTCCATCTCACCATGACAATGATCGCACCAAATCCAGGCTCCTTCTCCCCCTGCATCTACTACAGCCTCCTAAGTGGGTTCCCTACTTTCCTCTTGCCCTCTCCTAGACACTACAATGTAGTCTTCACACCAAAGCCAAGAGCATCTCTAAAAAACTTCTATCAGCACAAGTGACCTTCTAGCATAAAGCAATCTGGTGCATCCCATGACACTTAAAATCCACACTTATTTTCATGGCCTACAAGGCCCTGCAGGATCCGGCAACTGCTTTCCTCTGTACCTCCATCCACCACTCTCTGTCAGCTCACTCCAGTGACACAGGCATTCTTTCTCTACTCAAACGTGTCAGCCCACCTGCTTTCTGTTCTTATTTTCCTCTGTCTGGAGGTCTATTTCCCCAGGTAGTATTAGCCATCAGGTCTTTGCTTTAGAGTCACCTCTACAATAAAACCTTCCCTGACCATCTGGCCAAAGTGGCTTCTCGGTCACTCTTCCTTGATTATACATCTAAACCACCTTTTTTATGTGTTTTACATGTGTGAACTTTGCTTTCCTCCCTTAATGGTAAGCTCTATGATGGCATGGACCAAGCCTTATCTCTGGAGCCTAGGAAATGACTGGCACCAGCATATATACTCCATAAGCATGACGAAATGAATGAAATGTCTTTGGCTAGTATCCATTTAAGAGCCACCAATGAGTTCCTGCTTCTGAGACTAAAAGTCAATCTCTCCCCAAATTTGCCATTCCAGTATACACTCAAATGGCAACGGGTTAATGATAAAATTGTCACCTCCAAAAGGAAGCTTTTTGTCCTTCCAGGTTTTCCAAAAGAAACTAAATAATACTCATATCACAAACAACAAATCTTAGGAGAGTCTAGACCAGAGAATTTGAGGGAACCTCACATAACAGTAACAGCGTACAGGCTGCTAAAATAATCCTTATGCACTAAACCGAAAATGACCAAAGCCCACAAATGCCTAGAAACATGCAGAGAAAAACAAAATTGGGGCCTAAATCATGAAACTTTCACTGATATGAGGAAGGAGTTCTTCAGTGTTAACAGTCTTGCATTTACATAGAGCTGTGTTTCATTTGATCCTCACCGTAGCCATGAGGAATTGGTGAGCTGATGCTACTGACCAGAATGAAGTCTGATTAGAAGGTTTAAATGACTTGGTGAGAGAACAGAAGTATCATGGCACAAGGATCTTGGAGCGTAAATCCTCTGCCACTTACTGTAACTTGATCTTGGGAAGTCATTTCATCTCTCTGTGTCTCAGTGTCCTCATCGAGAAAATACACTGCTTGTAGATGAAATGCTGTATTCCCCTAAAATGCATATGTTGAAATCCAACTCCCAACGAGACAGCACTAGGAAGTAAGGTCTTTGAGAGGTGATTCAGTCATGAGGGTAGAAACCTTATGAACAGGATTAGTGCACTTATAAAAGACACTCCAGAGAGCTTCTTCCTGCAACGTGAGGACACAGTGAGAAGGCAGCTGTCATGAACCAAACACTCATCAGACACTGAATCTGTCAGTGCCATGATTTTGAACTTCCTAGCCTCTAGAACCGTGAGAAATAAACTTCTGTTATTAATAAACCTCCCCCCCCCAAAAAAAATAAAATAAACCTCCCCATCTATGCTATTCTATTATAGCTGCCCAACTGACTAAGACATACAACTTACTTCATAGGCTGTGGTAGGGTGAAATTGCCCCCACCCCACCTCCAAAGATGCCCTCATCCTAGTGCCTAGAACCTGTGAATATGTCTGTCACTTCAGGGGGTGAAAAGGCTTTGCAGATATGACTGAATTAAGGACCTTGAGGTGGGGAGATTATGCTGGATTATCCAAGTGGCTCCAAGGTAACCACAAGGATCCTTGCAAGAGGGAGGCAGAAGGGCCACAGGCAGAGAAGCAAGTGACAGCAGAAGGAAAAAGGTAGAAAAAAGGCTTAGAAGATGTTAACACTACTAGCTTTGAAGCTGGATGGTGGGGCCACAAGCCAAAGTATACAAGAGGCTTCTTAAAGCTAGAAAAATAAGGAAACAAATTCTTCCATAGTCTCCGGAAGGAACACAGCCCTATCAATCCATTTTAGGACTTCTGATCTCTGACCTATAATAAAATAAACTTGTGTTGTTTAAGTCACTAAATCTGTGATAATTTGTTACAGCAACAGTAAGAAACTAATACAGAGCTATTTATCATCAGGATTCAATGAGCTCAAATGCTATGCACAGTGCCAAGTACCAAAGTAAGAGCTCTTTAAATTTTAACTATGATGAGCCAAGACCAGAACCCAGGGGAGATTCAGAGAAGCACTGCAGGAACTAAGAAAATAAGGTTCAGAAATTTGGTAGTATCGATCTAAATTCAAAATGCACATATCATATGACAAAGATTCCATTTCTAAATAGATTTATAGGATATTCAATACATCCTTAGTTGCAACAACTCAAATATCCTGTATTAGGGTAAATTATAGAAAAATCATTCAACCGAGTACTAGGCAGCCTTTAAATAATGAGGTAAACCCCAAAATGCAGATAAGGAAAGTTCTACAAGACGTATGCCTTGATGAAAAACAGCCAAGGACAGAACAGCAAGTATATTAGATTCCCTTTTTGTTGAAAAATTTAAAGGATGCATACATATATTCATAAGCATACGTGACAAAAATTCTAGAAGGGCACATAGTTAACTGTTAATGGTGAATGTTCTAACAAAAGAGACCAAGAGCATGGAGTAGGAGGGGAACTCTTGTCATTGTATGTTCTTTCATATGGTTTTAGCCTTTTTACTAAGTATGTATGTGATAATCATTTCTAAAAAACTGAGGCTGAGATGTGACATCACCAATCAAGTATTTATGGGCTGACATGTCCACCATTGTATGTGTGACCCAGGGCACAACACAGGGTCCTGCTCTCCAGGAGTTCACAATCTAGCTGAGTTCATCATCGAAATTTATATCAGACAATCACCTAACTGTTTAAGACGTTCACATCAGAAAAGGGAACCAGACAGTCTCTCCACGTACTTTTCCACTATGACTCTATGAGAACAAATCACCACCTAAAATTCTCATCTAATCCATTAGTCCCAACCAAAGCTGCTTGCAATTAATAAAATGTTATTTCCTAGGAAGTAGTCAATGTTTATGAAGGAGAAATCTTTACAGAACAACCCAATTATAATATACATATATATATATATATAACACATTACAAGAAAAAAAGATGCACAAACAGTTGGATTTGTCTTCTTTGGTATACATTCTTCTATTTTCTTAATTCTCTACTAAGAAATATGCATCAATGCTATGAAAAGAAAATACAGCCTCCTCCCCTCAAAAAACACTCTTTTTGGTGTTGACACAATATCCATGAGGATTACTGGTCATCCCAAATCTTCCTCTCATTTTGTGAAACTGACAACCCTGCAAAGTATTCCACATTAAAGAGAACTAGTGGCAAAACCAACAAGAATCATCCAAATCTAAGTGTTCCATTTATAAATATTTAGTCCACACTGTCACCCAATTAGAGCATAATCCATAAAGGAGACATTATTGCTAACAACGGAGGCAGAAGGGGATCTGGGTCACTCTTCCATAACTCTATTAGTTCCTTTCAGCCAAGAAAGAAAAGCCTGTGTTAGCAAAGTATTTAGCTGACAATACATGTACGTAGAAATCATGATGCAATTCATCTCCATAATCTTATCTAAGGAGCAAAAAGACAAGATGAAAAATATTCAAGGGTAATTAGAGAGTTTCCAAGTGGTAACTTACAAACGTACTCCTCCAACCTGGAGGCTTGAGGAGTCATCACAGCTAAAAGTACTGAATGTACCACAAATACTCCCTCATACAGACAAATACAACAAACTGATGCTGACTCCAAATGCCAAGCCCAGTGATAAGGGCCTTTCCATTTCCATTCCTAATTTCTTTGAATCCTCTCAACTGCTACTACGATGTGGAAGCGAAATTGAGGCATGGAGTTTAAATAACTTATCCATGGTTATACAGTCAGTGAGTGAAGCCAGGATGTGAATTCAAGCAGTCTTCATTCGAAAGTATAGACGTGATAACGATACTAGCTTCAATGGAAAGTGTAAACATTTATCCACCCCCTTTTCCAATCAGCCCAACTGTCATACACTTTCATCTCCCCAACTTGCTCCTATCACTCACCACCCTCTCCCTAGCTCAGAATTAAATCAAATATTCTCCAGTCCTGTAACCACAGATGCCCTTACTGGCCTCCACTGCTCAGAAGCCAATATACGAGAATAAGAGCCCATCTGGACAGGATACTACCCTAGGAAATGCCCACTTTTCAAAGACCTGTCTCCCAATGGAGCTGGCAGGTATGACTTGCAGCCTTCCACTGTGCTGGGACTCACCGAAAAAGTCAGTGTTTCTTTCCCTGTACACAGTTTCTCCTCATTCACATGGATTCACAACTTACCAAAGTGCTCTCATTCAGAAAGTGGTTCTAAATCAGTTCCTTCTGATAATAACCCTAATAATAATAAAGACAGCTATCATATACTGAGTATTCATTATCTAACAGGCTTTACAAACACTGTCATTTCTTCCTCACGACAACCCAATGAAGTAGGCACTGTGCCCAATTTACAGATGAGAACATTAAGACTCAGAGAGGTAAAGTATTGATAATTCAGCCCAAGGTCATGCAGCTGGTAAGTGACTGAACCTGACTCCATGCAACTTAAGCTTTCGGAAGTCTTGCCTCTTAGCGATTAAAATGTGAGCTCCTCCTGGACGTTCCCTGAGATTCACCTGTCAAGAACACATCTCCTCCACTACCACATGAATCATACTATCACTGAGCGCTTACCTGAATTTCTTCATTTTCATCTACCAGGAGGAAACTCACAACCTTCTCAGTCATCTTCTTCCTCTTGGTCTCCTCATCCATCCCTTCTTCTTCCAGCAACTCCTGGACCTTCGTGACATGGTACACAGTAACGGGGTGCCTCCTTTTGTTACCCCCAGAATGAGTTCTCTTCTGGCACTCCAGGCACAAGTTGATTTTACAGGTCTGGCACCTCACCACTGCCCTCTGCTTCACACCTGGAGAGTGCCCATTGGGGCCCTTGCAGGGGTCACAGTAAGGGACATGGCCAGCTTTGAGTCTGATCCGCTCATGGTTTCTCAGGCGCTCCTGCCGATGGAGTTCCTCCTCACAACGGAGACACTGCAGGCTGCAACACTCATCACACTCGAAGACAGCTTCATCAGTGCCGCTGCAGGTGTAACTTTCCTGGCACAGCAGCCCTGGGTTCAGGCCCTTCTCTGCTGGGGAAGTCTGGGCACTCATATTCAGACTGGAAGGAAACCACCTACCGTGTAACGGTAACTGGGCTTTCCCCAGGGGAAGTGAAGACAGAGGCGTGGAGTCTGAAGACTGCACACAACTTCCACAGGGTTCTGAATACCCTAAAAAAAAGTGTCTTGTTTTTTTAAAAAAAACAATTAATGTCCTATTAGAATTCTTCACACACTCACAAATGTTCCAATGTTTAATTTTCTGCCTCTAAGACTCTTGAATCAGCAGCAACGTTGATCTGGTTTGATCGTTTCATCCTCCATAAAGTGCAGGCAAATATGTGGCCAAAATCAACTCGAAAGGGTCTTTTATGGCTATCTGAGAGAGATCTGATGGATTTACTGAGGTGGGTTCACGGGTGGGGCCTCAGCCGCAAGGTTTTGGTAATGAAAGAGTGGTCAGGAGCTTTTCAATATTATCCAACCTCAAGTCAATATTTCTGGGGATACCTAGAATAGAGGCAGGAAAAGTATTTCACTCATCTAAAAGAAGTGCACCTTTACAAAAAGAATAAAAAGATTGTGATTAAATATGAGGCCAAAACTCCCAAGAGAAATTTCATTCTTGAAAGTTAAACACTGACTCATTCTGATCCTAGAAATTTCTCCTCAAAATCATGATTAAGGCTGTTCCTTTTGAAAACAACAACTACCTCTAGGATCAAATCACTTAAGAGACTCTCGCTTTATTTTCCAGACTCAAATTCTCTGTTCCCTGAGTTATTAAATTCAGAATCGAAAGCACTAAGCAAACAGTCCTTGAAGGGACAGCCTTCTGCACCCGTCCCTGCACTCCACAATTGAGAGAGGTGAAGAAAGATGCCTGTAAAAAGCTACAGGAGCAATAATAATAAACTCTAGCTCCATCCAAGTCCTGGGCAGGTCCAAAGACCCTTGTAACTGGGCTGTTTCAACTCTAGACAGATGCCTATTAAGGACTCTAAACCTGGAAACAGTCACCATTCTATGGTGCTTAAAAACAATTATTATACTTCCTTTCATCCTTTTCTCTAATTGCAAAAATAGGGAGCAACAGGAGACAGAATTCCTTCACTATGGCCCACTGCAAAGCCAGACGTGCAGTGAGTTAAATAATTTTTCTCTTTGTCACTCAAAACCCAAATTTAAAATAACTTTTTAAAAAAAGAAAGAAAGAAAGAAAAATAAGTGGAGCAAGAAAGGGGCTTTTGTCTCTTCTACAATCATATTTCTAACTCCCCTTCGTCTGGACACCCATTCTAATGCTCCAACAAAATGTAAAGCCCTCCTTTCAGGTATTCACTCCTCCCATACAGAAATCAATCTATCCATCTAATTTTAAGATAAACAGAGAAGGCGAAAGGAATGACTAGGAGACCTTATTTACACCCTAATCACAGGCGTGCCCAAGCAGCTCCCGCAACGTTAACAAAAATCAAAATTGTCACAACTGATTAAAAATGTAAAACCAACCTTTAAAAGGACACCTCTCCGCCCACCAGGACCCAAGCAAACAGCCTGCCCACTCGGCCTCCCACCTCGACGCCTCTCCCCAGCCGGGGATTTCTCACCCTTCCTTCCTCCCAGGCAACACCACCTCAACCCGAGGGGCTGGAGCAGGATCTAAGAACAAAGAAGGTCCCCCCAAATCTCCCCCACGCTGGCAGAGGCCAGAGTCGAATCCATTGTTTATACCACCCCACCCCCACCCCAGCCGCACCCGCCCCCCCTTCCTCCCGGGGGCAGAAGGGAGCTCCAGGGCTATCGCTCGCCTGGCGCAGGGCCGTGCCCTTCCCTCCCCGACCGCGGCGGCCCGGGAACCCCACCACTAAGCAGTTCTGTCGCGGCGAGGCGGCGTCCGGGAACCACGGGGCGCCGGTGGAGGCGGGGGCTGTTCTTCAGGGCACCGGTGGATCCATCCTCATCTCCATCTCCGCCCCCCCTCCTCCTTCGCTGTCTCCCGGGCTTCCTCCTCTCCTGTTGTCAGTTAGGATCAGCTGATCGGAGTGAACTTCTCCTAGCTCGGACTAACAGGAAGGCGTGAGCGCTGCAGCCCACTGAGGGAGGAGCGGGAGAGGTGGAGCCTGACAGCGGCGAGGGCGGAGAGGTGTGCGCACAGCCTCCTGGGAAGTGTAGTTCCTCGGAGTGGCACCCTTCCCCAACTGCCCGGAAGTGAGGCCTCTGAATGACTACAACTCCCGGTACGGAAGACGCTGCTCCTGCGAAGAGGCGCTAGAGACAGGCCCTCGAGCATTATGGGACTTGGAGTTTTTGCGCTGACTGCGGTTTCCGCAGGTTTCAGCACGTTGTTCTGGGTAGTGGCCAGAGAAGGAGTGGCTCTAAATTAGAGAACTGATGTAATATGTAGTATAGGCCAGGCAAATAATTCGATTTCAAGTAACTTTTATTGCGCACCATTCCTTTAGAAATGTGTTAAAAACAGGCAGTCTCCAGTTACCCAATTTCGTCTTGCACAAACTAAGACCAGAAAGAATTTATATGAGAATATGAGTAGTCTTGGAATGTTCTGCAATGTTTTGTTTTTTTTTCCCTCCATTCATTTATTTTTCTGACCTCTCCTTACTTACCTTCAGAACTTCCAAGTTTTAAATCGTCTTTTGGTTAGAGAGGGGTACATTTATCCAGGTAAATTTTCAGGCTACAATACAAGCTAATGGTTAACACTGTTACCTGTTTTTTTGTTTGTATGTTTTTGGGGTTTTTTTGGAAATTGTCTTTTATTCAGTGCTTTCACTTTTTGTCTTTTCTGTTGTTTCTTAGAACAACACCGGAAGAAAGCCTGGTGTAAAGAGCACTGGTCTGAGGTGCTGAAGACTGTGATTGTTCTAAAAAGCTCCTGGGCAAATCATGCAACTCTCTATGAAATAAAAGGACTGTATCAATGGAATCTCAAAGGTCCCTGCCAATTCTCATGTTCTCTGACTCTGTCTTGATAATTGTTAACCCAGGAGAGAAAGCGATGGTTAAGTGACTTGCCAAGGTCATAAAGCAAATAATTGACAAAGCTGGGACAAGAACCCATCTCCTGAATTAAAGTGAGATAATTTTTTACCTGATGATTCAAGGGACATAGTTAGACCAATAGTAAAGCCAAATCTACATAACAAAGTATAAGTTATTTGTGAGGGTTAAATTGCTGAAAATTGTTTTCAAGACTGGACAGATAGTCAACAGTTGGACTAACGACAAAACTTTGTTGAGAAATGCCACATCACAAATCAAGATGCTAAGAACTAAACTATCGGTAGCATTTTGTAATTTTCAGGTTTTAAAGGGAGAAGAGGAAAAGAGGGATTTTAGAAATGAACTTAAGATAAAAGATCTTGAGCTAGGCTCTAAGGATTGGCTAGCATGTAACAAAATTTCCCTAGAAGGTTTTATTTCTAACCTACCACAATAATTTTTTATAATCTTAATAGTTTGCTTCATACTCCTAAGCATAAAATGAGGATATTAATATATCTTGAGGACAAAATGGTATTTAAGTAAGTAAGTGAAGTCGCTTCAGTCATGTCCGACTCTTTGCAACCCCATGACTATAGTCTTCCAGGCTCCTCCGCCCATGGGATTTTCCAGGCAAGAATACTGGAGTGGGTTGCCATTTCCTTCTCCAAAGTGGTATTTAATCCTTTTTAAAACTTTAAATGGTATTTAATCCTCCAGTACTTTGGCCACCTGATGCAAAGAGCCAACTCACTGGAAAAGACCCTGATGCTGGGAAAGATTGAAGGCAGGAAGAGAAGGGGACGACAGAGGATGAGATGGTTGGATGGCATCACCAACTCGATGGACATGAGTTTGAGCAAACTCCGGGAGATAGTGAGGGACAGGAAACCCTGGCATTCTGCAGTCCACGGGGTTGCAAAGAGTAGGACATGACTGAGAGACTGAACGACAGCGACCGGGAGATAGTGGAGGAGCCGGAGGAGCCTGTGTGCTGTAGTCCGTGGGGTCTCATTGGGACTACAGATTTGACTTAGCAACGGAACGACAACAAACCTAGTGGTTAACTCAGGGAGGGAGCTGATACGATCAGGGCACATGGTAGGCATCTGCGTGTTTGTTGGTAGTATTCTACTCTTGACCTTCATAGTAGCTATACCAATACTCACTAGATTTTGCTTTACACAATTTATGTTTTTTGTACTTTTCCATTTGTATACATTGCAATACAATAGAGTTAGTCACTCTGTGCAACTGCATGGATTGTAGCCCGCCAGGCTCTGCTGTCCATGTAATTCTCTAGGCAAGAATACTGGAGTGGGTAGCCATTCCTTTCCCTAGGGGATCTTTCCAACCCAGGGATCGAAACCGGGTATCCTGCAGATTCTGAGCCACCAGGGAAGCCCATTTGTATATCTCATTATAAAAAATAAAATTTAAAAATTTTAATTAGAAAAAACTGAATAATGCAAAAGGTGACAGGAAAGTAGAACCTACGAGGTAAGCAAGCCAAGCTTTTGGACTTACTGATTTCCTTAGGTCACTCAGCACAGCATTTTAAAGGTCTTAACCCCAACAAGACATACAAAACAAGTAAAAGGTTTTCAGGTTTGTCGTTTTAAAATATGATAATCTATTTCATCAAATTATGTTTGAGTCCACCAACCTATGAGCTATATTTTCCTTCCAGTAGTTATGGCAGAAGTTGTGAATCAAACTGCCTTAATCAATAAGAGAAATGATTTGGTTCACATAATTGAACAATCTGGGGATTATCATTTCTGCCAAATCTCAATCTTGGCGTCAAATAACATATTCAAGATCTTATCTCCTTCTCCATTTCTCATCTTTGAGAAATGCACTCAATTAATTTTTGACAAACGTGCAAAAGCAATTCAGTTACAGGAAGCATTGTTTCCTTTATCTTTGAGGAAGAATGATACTGGAGTAATTGCACACAAAAAAATAGGCAAAAAGAAAAAAAATTAACCTCAACTTGAACCTCATACCTTACACAAAAATTGATTAAAAACTGATCATAGATATAAATGTAAAAATGCAAAACTGTAAAATTTTAAGAAGAAAACATGATAAAATCTTCAAGACCTAGGCTAAGTGAAGAATTTGTTGACATGACAGTAAAAGCACAATTCATAAAAGAGAAAGTTGATACAATGAGATGTCAACAAATTAAAAACTTTTTCTCTGTTAAAAAGGTACTAGAAAATACCTTGATCCCTAGCTGTGCCAGTCAGATTCTCTGCCCAGGGCATTTAGAAATAACATCCAAAAACAGTGAATAAAGTGGACATTTGCTACAGAGAGCTTGCTCAATATATAATCTCCTTTCTGTGTTTGGAGATATATACCTGTTGTGTGAGAGTTGATGAGACATTTGTTCAATCAGTAGGCTGACCATGAACCATGAGTACATAGTAACAACATTAAATGAATAAATAAAAACAGTTTGGAATTCAAAATGAAACTTCTGTTTCTGCGAGCATGCTTGACATGGTATTCTAAAAACACTTATGCAGCAGAATACTCAGATGTTAGGTAAACTACAAAAAATATATATTTAAATACATTACTACACTGACAGGAAAATAAGAGCAATCCCCAAGTGTTAAAAGTCAAAAAAGAAAGTTAAAAAAAAAACACAAGCTGGGTGGTAATCCTGAGGAAGTTTGGGAGACTATCCTAGAGTCTTTTTTATATATATATTTATTTACTTTATTCGGCTGTGTCAGGTCTTAGTTGCAGCACTCGGGATCTTCAATCTTTGTTGAAGGTCTTTAGTCAAGATATGCAAACTCTTAGCTGTGGCATGTGGGATCTAGTTCCCTGATGAGAGATCGAACCCGGGACCCTTGCATTGGGAGCACGGAGTCTTAAAAACTGGACCACCAAAGAAGTTTCAGAGTCTTGATAACAATTACTAAGGAGAGAAACAGAAGAGAAAACTGGGCCTTAAAAAAAGAGTCCTTGCAAAAGAAAAGAAAGTGAAAGTCACATGTGACTCTTTGCAACCCCAAGGACTATACAATCCATGGAATTCTCCAGGCCAGAATACTGGAGTGGGTAGCCGTTCGCTTCTCCAGGGGATCTCCCCAACTCAGGGATCAAACTCAGGTCTTCTGCATTGCAGGTGGATTCTTTACCAGCTGAGCCACAAGGGAAGCCCCCCAAGAAAGCTTGGAGTCCAAGGATGGACTAAAAAATTTTACCTGCCAGCAGGGGGAGCAAGAAAAGAAACCTGTCTCTGTGTGTGACTATTGCTCAGTTCTTAAGTTGTGACTTTGCGACCCCATGGACTGTAGCACGCCAGGCTCCTTTGTCCACCACTATCTCCCAGAGTTATAGGTGGACTATATCCTATAGTAATGATCACAAGTGTCTCTTCTAAAAATTTGTAAACATGGTTTTATCATCATGAAGGTCTGAGGTTTGAACTGAAAGGAGAAATAGACAAATGCACAAAGAGTTGAAGGAAATCAAGTTAAAATAGGAAAGCCTTGAACAACATCATCAACCAACTTGATATTCCCAACAGCAGCAGAACATACCTTCTCTTCAAGTACACACAGGACATTCATCAAAATAGATCATGTCAGGCAATAAAACAAATCTCAGTAAATTTAGAAATACTGAAATCATATAAAGTGTTTTCTCTGATCACTATGGAATTAATTGGAAATCTGTATCTGAAATATATCTGGAAAATCACCAAATATTTGGAAATTAAACGATACACTTCTAAATGATGCTTTGGTCAAAGAACCCACAAAGGAAATTAGAAAGTATTCTGAGTTGAATGAAAATGAAAACAATAAATAAAGACAATGCTTAGAGAGAAATTGTAGTATATAAAATTTGTCTCAGAAAAATATAAAGGTCTCAAAGCAGTTATGTAGGCTATTGTCTTATGGAACTAGAAAACAAGAGCAATAAATCCAAAATAAATAAGAGGAAAAAATAATTAAAATCAGAGCAGAAACTCATGATATAGAAAACAATACAGAAAATAATCCAAAAGATGGTTCTGTGACAAGATTTTTTTTAATTGGTAAATTTATATCTAGATTTACCCAAAAAAGAGAAAAAAGACACAAACACAGTTATGGAAATGGAAACAAGAATCACTACAAATCCTAGTATAGTAGAAGAATAATAAATAGTGT